ATTTTTTATTCTTTTTTTAATTTTTTTGCAATAAAAGTGGGGTTTCTTTGGGTTTCTGCGTAAATGCAAACACCGTTACAATTGCAGTGACTCAAAGGCTGGTTCTAATGAAGCACATGGATGTGCTTTGTGCTGTGGTTTGGCAAACACTTGGTCCAAACATATTTTGTGGTCTATGCTTTTCTGCCACTTTCAAACTTTTTTTGACAGAATTTAAAACAGTTCTCACTTCCCATAGAGATGAAGTGACATGGCCAACTTTTTATGTCAAAGGTCTTTTTAGAAAAGTGAAAGACTAGTGAATTATTTAATAATCATACATCTGGAATTGTTTCTTTCAATTTATTTGTTGCCTTCCCACTGAAAGAACAATGCAAGAATGAACTTCAAATATGCATGCTGCTAAAAGGACAATAAAGTTGTGCTGTGTAATTCTTCATGCCTGCTTGAATTCTCAGCACAGCAGATTTCACATAGTTTTACAGAAGGAATCTGATGCTTGGCCCATGTTGTTATTGGGGTGCAGATCTTAAGGGCTTTGTTTTGGTTCATGTGTATTGGCGAGGTCTGGATTTGGGGCTAGTATTAGTTGTGAAGCCTCTAAGGGCCATATAGAGGTTGAACCACTAAATAACTTCAACTATGGATCATGTTTTTGGTGCCTGATTCATGTTTCCCAGGGTGTTCACATGACAAATCAAAACAGGGTGTCTAAAAATTTAATTATGGGTATTTTTTTCCTTCAGACGACGTCAGTCTTTAGTCAGAACAATCTGAGTTATAAGGGTCAGACTCACTCACTAGTATGACTACACTGAAGCCATAGTATTTAGATGTTTGATGTTTTATATAAGCCATTGTTCATGATATTGGCATAAAATCTTGTCAATCTTGCCAGGTGAAGCATTTTTTTTTTAAATCCTGTTTGTTGGGAAAATCACAACTAATAATGGAAACAGATTGTGTGGTAGCAGTCATATTTGGTTTTTATTTAATAGAATTCTAATGCTTTCATTTCTTGTTTACATAAGTGTACTGTCATAACAACTCCAGGAAACAATTTACACAATGCAGTGTACAGCATGGATTACGTACAGAGAACATTCAGCTCTATTGGAGGCCGAACAGGGGAATTGATTTTGTAAAGCATCATGTGGAGGTTCTTCCTAATATCCTAAGTCGAGTCTCTTAAATGTGATATAGTCTCTATTTGAACTAATAGTTAATGTACAATCCATTTTGGAGTGGTCCAATGGAGTGGTCTGATGTAAATTACCAGTGACATTTATATGATACTTTCAGTTTTTTGGGAGGGTGTATCATCTATTCCCGCAATGGGATGGACATAACACATACGGCATTTGTCTTTTTACACTGCAAAAAAAAAAAGGAAGAAAAACAAAAATTTCTTAATTCATAATCAGTTTTTTGTCTTCTTTTCCAAGAGAATATATTTATTTAATTACATTTTACTTACCCAACTGGTAAACTGTTTTAATCATAAATCCAACATAATTGTGTGGTTTATGCTTAAAACAAGAAAAAAATATATATTTGCAAATGGTGTAAGAAACTTAATTCAACACAAATTCTCTGAAAATGTTTTGTTTCTCAAGCAAGGATGTTTAGATATTTTGCCTGTAAACAACACAAACATACAAAATAAGAAGGATTTTTTGCAGTGTAGGCATTTCTCAGAAACAGAATAATAGATCAAATTCACCTGGATGTATTTTACCTGGATAGTGACATACTATTTTGAAATCCTCATCAACATTTACTTATAACTAAAGATTAACGAGATTTTTTTTTTAAAAAGGCAAAAAACTATCACATACACTTAACACAGAACACACAGGCAAAATAGATAACATAAACATTTTACACAAAATCAAACTTGTTGAACACTGCTCAAAGACACCTGACAAAATCCACAGGCACTTTCTGGTGATGGACACTCTTTGAGTGTTCAAATTCAATCTGTTTTAAATGCTACGAAAGTAAACTGTCTCTATAAAATACTGCTCTCAAAGAATAAATCTATTTGAAATTTTAAAAAAAACCTACTGTTTATAAAAAAATAAAGAATTACTGAAGTAGAAATGAAGAAAGATGGAGGGACAAGGATGGAGTTTTTTAGTATGTGAATATATTGCATACATATATATTATACACTTTCTGGCTGGCAAATGGATTTATAACCATTTAAGTGGACGTTTTAATGTGGGGGTGTTTTATGTATGGCAACTTTGGTACATTCCAGGGAACTGATTCAAGACTCCATCCACCTGTTAACTTCAATTGTTTTAGATGCTTACTTATTGATTGATGCATAGACGCCTTGTAGATGCCAAGCACAAGTCGCTTGGTTTATATGTGAAACACATGGTAAAAGGCTCTCCCTCACACTTACATTCTCAGAACACATTACGACAACCAATCAATTTAACATTCTATGAAAATATAGCCATATTTTCGATATATTATACTCACGTCACCACCCCCTGAGAAGCATCAATCACTCGGAATTCTATTGTATTGTCATCACAACTCTCTCTATTTGATGTCTGCCAACTTCTCTGCTCTGTGTTAAGAATCAAAGCATGGGATAAACACAAGCCAGTCTGTTCTCAGCGCATTCCCGCAGACAGACAGAGATCTTATCTTGATCTCATCAGGTTCTCTCAAGTAGGCTAATATCAGAACAAACATCAGCGAAGTGCCCCACGAGTGAACGTTCAACCATGATGTGCATTAAACACTAGCATGCGAGCAACTCCAGAAGCCAATGATATGCTTCGCTGCCTGATTTAATGGAAAGCTCAGCTCCAGGGGAGATGCACGCTACGAAAGCCATATAAAAGCTGATGGAGCCGACAACCTGCCTGCCAAAAAAGTAGGAGGCAGCGATGTTCCACCGACTCATATATCAAACTTTAAGGTAATGCATGACTTCAAGTAGGACCTGAATTAGAGTCTTAATAGTTTAAGCCAGTCAGTAACTTGCATTTAGTACTGGAATAATGGCCCTGCTGGAAAATCCAGCTTAAACTGGTAGCGTTATTTTGAACATGGTAGTCGGAAAACCACCAGGAAACAGCTACCAGGTCATACCAGCTTAAGGTGGTCAAGTTGGCTTGAACAAAGCTGGCAGGTCAACCAGCTAAAGACTGGCAATGCTCCAAAATACAGCTACCTGCTTAAGATGGATTTTGCATGGTGTTGTTGTATCAAAATGTGATTTCCTGTAGATTAATCACTGATGTACACTCTTAAAAATAATGGTTCTTTAATGGTTCCATTAAAGGTGCTGTATGTAAGTTTGTGACTCTACTAAAGCATAAAAATCCCATAATATGTTTGCAGATATTTAAGAAACATGCTAAATTAACATACTTGTTTATCTGAAAAACAATGCTACAGTCAGTTATTCTCCTTTGAAAATGTGCGTTCCGGGCCGGAATGTCAGTCTCTGTTTTGGTTTGTGAAACCCGCCCACTGCCAGTTTACCCAATTGTATTTCGGCACCCCGGGTTGCCAGTTGGCGGAAAACACAGCGTATTTCATTCCATTCATTTCAATCTGGCAACCTGCGTGTGCGTCAAGTCTGAGGAGGAGGGGCCGAGTGAAAAAAACCCTCTCCAATATTTTGAATTTGGACTGCAATACCTAGTTCAACCACTCAGTCTCAATCCTACATACAGCACCTTTAAGAACCTGTAACATTCAAAGAAGATTTCCATTGCACAATTGGTTATTTTAAGTGGAAAGAGGTTCTTTAGAAATTTAGAGTGTTCTTAACACTAAAAGGTTCTTTGGGGAACCCAAAATGGTTCTTAAGTTGCATCACTGTGAAAACATCTTTTGGAACCTATTTTTAAGAGTGTAGGAATATTAGTGGAGCAGAGAGCAGAAAAGTTGGACGGTGAGTCCCAGAATGGAGAGGCAGAGCTCCAGGGAAGGGAATCCGAGCAGTGCGGATCCCCGGGAGAGTGAACTGACTGTGGGGAAGAAAAACGGAAAGCTTCAGGGGTAATTACGACCCGCCTGACAGGAATGTCTCACTAATGCCTCTCATGTTTATTCCAGAGCCTGACAGTGAGCGCATTAGAAATGCAACGAAAGACACTCCATTAGATACTGTGTGTGTGTGTGTGTGTGGATGCGCTATGGAATATCTGTGTTAGGTCCGTAACGTCTATTTACGAGTGCAATATCCATTGGATTGATAGAAAACAGGAAGCAAAGACTATTTTTAGTTGTTCTGTTTTTTGTTGTAGTTAACTTGTTTGTTTGGTTAGACCAGTGGTAGGCAAGTTCGGTCCTAGAGAGCCGCAGTCCTGCAGAGTTCAGCTCCAAGCCTAATCAAACACACCTGAACAAGCAAATCAATGTCTTCAGGATTACTAAGGCTATAGGCAGGTGAGTTTTGTTTTCAGGGTTGGAGCTGCACTCTGCTGGATTGCATCTCTCTAGGACCGAACTTGCCTACCCCTGGGTTAGACCATTCCGATTTACTCTAAAGCTTATATAATAATGTTAAGGTACTTTTTATTGCTCCTTAGTCCAGGTCAGTGATGCATCCTTAGACCAGCTCTCTTTCTCAGCTTCCAGCTCATGACTGCCGAGATGGTTGAGTAATTCAAACCACATTATAGCATCTGAATCTGCATCCGCATTCATGGAATGAATCATGTAACCAAGACAAAGAGTGAGAAAGAAAGAGCAAATGTGGCAACAAAAGATGAAGAAAACCTAGACAGAAGACTCATCAAGAGCTACAGTAAGAATCATTGATTGTAGAGTCAATGAAGATAGTTTTCTAAAAGATAGTTTTTTTAGTTTAAGGCTTGTGAGACTTTAGTCAGTGTAGTTACTGGTTATTCATATGACAATATGTAGTTAAAGATACACATTTGGAGTTTTAAGTTTTCAACTTAAAGTAACTTTATATAAGCAAAATATTATAGTTTTTGTTTAGTAAATAGTTAAGACAAATTATTAAGGTGGCCGATAAGGTTTCCTCAAAAGTACTAAAAGAATCATTACAGGAATCATTAACGAACATGTGCTGCTAAGTTGAATCCAAATCAAACCTGAATTAATGGTAGGACATAAACATGGTGATTACTTCTAGGAGTGCATGATGGCATGAAAATATTTGTGTAGCTCTTTAGTTCTGGTTTCTCTTTGCACTGTGACTCAGATTTCTGAAGAGGTAAGGCGAGAAGATCTAAGCAATGAAACCTAAACTGCAGTAACTAGAGGAAGGCAGGGAATATGATACACTATGTGTGTGTTTTATAGAGAAAAGGTTGTGAAAGAGAGAAAAAGGAAGGCAAGCTAAGTATAGATCTGAGTCATTACATTATTAAAGGTCAGCAAATGTCACAGTCGTGAGTTGTTGCCCATAAACACTGACCTGCGATCAGCTGCTTTGAAACTAGACGGCGACTGGTAGTTCTGCACTAACTGCATACAACCCCCCAAAGTTTTAACACACACATGAAAATGTGTACAATTCTGATTAAATAAAGGGCCTTGATGTTATAGACAAAATCTATTAATACTTCAAAGATAAGGCAAAAAACGAAATCCTTATTAAATCAGGCAGAAGGCTCCAGGTGGAGGAATCATGGTGCAGCTGCTAAGTTGCGCGATATCCGTGAAGCCTGTGTTAGCGTCTCTTTGCGTCCTCTTGTGAAGCCCGGGACATCCAGAGTCTGTGTCACAAGGGTGCATTTATACATCTGAGAAACCCAGTATATGTTAAACATTCATCAGAGTTTGTGGTGGGTTTCAGTATACATTATGGTGAACTTTCTTCAGGGTAATAGGCTTATGTTTATTTAGAAGTAGCTATTTTAAGCCAGTGAGTCTGATCGCTGATGTGGATCCATTGGTGCTGTTGAACCAGCTCATCAATGAATAGTCCTTGCTGGGTTCAAAAGGATCAAAGGTCTTGTCTCTGTGTCCCTTGCTGGATGGCCATCATGGCTTCGCTCCTCCATTCTCCTCTTTCTGCTTCCTTGTTTCCTTCACTCCAACCTCTCATCCCCTCTTTATTGTTATATTGATAACATAGCGTCCTCCTCCTCACTGGTTAGGCCTGAGGTGGGGGGGAGTCAGGCTGAGCCCCTCCATCCACTCTCACCACTAGAGGAATAAAGAGAAAGAAAACGTTACACTAATTTATTATTTACTAATTTAAATAATTTTCTTCTCTGTCTTTGACAATTCATTTTAGCGAATCCTTTGGTTCATTCAAAGGATACATTTTAAACACTTATTCCTGAAACTGAATTTTAGTTAATTAGTGCTGATTTGTCCCAAATTACTTAATTGACTGCATAAAATTTCTCTATACAGGATTAATAGTGCACACCAATCATTTTTTGTAATTACACACACACACACAACTATCCAAAAAGATTAGGTCAGTCATTCGTTCGTTCATTTGTTCATTCGTTTGTTCGTCCGTCTGTTTGGTATGTTCATTCATTCATTTGTTTGTTTGTTTGTTTGTTCGTTCATTCGTTCATTTAATTATTTATTAAATGTTTCAGAAAGAAGTATTTTATGCTTACCAAGCCTGTATTTATTTGATAGAAAATACTGTAAAACAGTAATATTGTGAAATATTATTACAATTTAAAATAACAAATTTATTTAATATATTTTTCATTTGTACTTTATTCCTGTGATGCAAAGCTGAATTTTCAGCATCATTACTCCAGTCTTCAGTGTCACATGATCCTTCAGAAATCATCCTAATATACTGATTTGATGCTTAAGAAACATTTATTGTCATTATCAATATTGAAAACAGTTGTGCTGCTTAATATATTTGTATAAACAGTTATACGTTTTTTTCAGGGTTCTTTGATAAATAGAAAGTTCAAAAGAACAGAAACATATATATATATATATATATAATTTTTTTTTTGTTTGTTTTTTTTTGTTAGTGTAAAAATTGCCATTTTATGTTGTCACCCAAATTTATATTGTTTATTGTGCCACACAAATACTGCCTCAATGTAGTAAGCTATGTTTTGCTAGAGTAGATCATTTTCAAAATTGTGGTTTGACTGTAGTTGAACTTCTTTGACTAATGAATAACTTTAAGCAACGTCACAGTAACGTCCCTAAAAGTGAACAGTGAATATTACAGGAATATTACACTAGGGGGCTTTCAGTTTGTTCTAACACTGTTTAACACTTTGTATCTGTGTCGACTAGTCATGGATCACACAACTTCAGTTATGAATATAGTTGACTAGAAAAATTATTATTTGTGCATGAATAGTAGTATAACTTTAAATATTATTGGTGTGCACTAAATAATCCTTTACAGAGCAATATAATGCACTGCCTCATGTCATGTCAAAATGAAATACTGAAAACTTTTTCTCACTAAATAACATGCAGGTTCCATTTTTAGCCGATTTGAGGCGAGCAGCGAGCAGTCCCCCTGGAGCTCTGAGCATCCCGTTCCCCTCTGCCTGCCCTAACCATTTAACTGCAATCACTACTACATTCAGCCTGAGACACAAATGCCTCATTTTCCCACTAACCCTTCAATCTGTTGTCAATTGTGGGATGCCATGGAAACAGTTCCGGAATGCTGCAAGTAGGCTTTTAGTTCTGAGGTACCGTTTTGTGTCTGGAGCAATTCAGAGCTGTGCCATTTGTGTAATACCAAAAAAAAAGACACCTTTTTCCCGTCTTGTATATGACATCATAGCAGTCTATGGAGACAAATGTAGCCATACCCACCCACTGGAGAGACAAAAGTCTACTGTTTAATTAGACAAAAAAAAAAAAATTAGAATTTAAGGGCAAGACATGCCAAGACCACTCAATAGAAAATCTAGGATTCATTCCATATGAAGTAAACTGTGTACACTATAAACAAGCAGTATAAAAAGGCAAAAAAATACTGTAGTGCTCAACAAAAACAAATTTAGATTTTTGGGGGGTAAAATACAACTTAACCCAAAAGCATGTCTATCAAACTGGAGATTGTTTATCATATTCTATTCACACTCTCTATCAAACCTGGAAATGCTACAGTTTTTTGTCCCATGAGGGGCGTCCTACATTTTCAGTGTCCTCAGTGGGGGATGCGGTATTTTGAAATCACATTCTCTCGGCCTACCGAGGGTAGTTCTGACCAAACGTTATGCTCAAGAACACTGAGAAAGTGTGAGAAAATGTGCGTAGGCAAATAGTAAACATAATATTTCAATGTGGCTTCTTCTGTCATAGTTAAATATAGTTCAACAATATTATGCACACTATATGCAAAGGCACATATACAAAAGGCAATGGACGGTTTGTGATTTTGACTCATTTTTTAATGAGTCAAATAAAAATACAAATAAAAACTCCCATGCACAGAAAAGTCTTGAACTGTATCAAATGTAAATAGATGTAAATAGAGAGGCGAGGGACATGTACCTTTAAAAGGATAGTTCACCTTCGTGTTATTACAGATCTGTGTGATTGACTTTCTTCTATATCTTCTATTTATTTGAAATATCTTTAGTATGTCATACAGTATACTAAAGTAAGTCATACAGGTTTGGAATTACATGAAGACAAAAGCTCCAAATGTCAGTGTTAAACCTGCACTGACAGAAGGGGAAATGGGGCATTTAGATGGATGAGAATGAATCTGAAATGTATATATAGAAAGGAAGAAAAGCATAGAGAGATATCAGAAAAGGTGCCTGAAATTTGCTATGGTTCATGCCATATTGCCAGCCTTCGACCAGCTCATAGGATGCACAGCCTGACAGGAATTGTCCCAAATCTCCCGATTAGCCGCTCAGACCTTGGCAGATGGCGTGACTGATCTTCATGTTGAGCAAAGTGTGGATCCATGCGATCACAAGTGCCTGAACCGAAGAGGACTGAATTCCTTTAAAAAATTAAATACCCTTTCACCTTCATCCATCTCCTCTGATATCCACTAATCCATTTGTTCGTTCCCTAGAGTCTAGTGAAAGCTTGGAAAAGTAAGAGCTGCCAGAGAGCGAAAGAGAGGAAGCGAGAAAGAAATACTGGTATACCAGCACTAACTGCTGATGGTCTGTCGGTAACTCCTCCTGAACTACTGACACAGCACATTTACACCAGTTAATCAAGTTATTTGTCACTCCTAATTGATGGCAACAGACAACAGAGACTGGTGGCTCTAACTAAGAGTAAAATGAAGAGATATGTACAGACAGAAACTGCTGATTCTGCAGTACATTCACTGGCCTCTTGGGTGCTTTAACAAGTTCGCTCTATTAGCTAAAAACATTCATCTGCACACATTTCTGAACACACCATGTGGGTCGTCTGAACGTTTTAATGATTCCTTAAAAGCAGCGGCAAACATTTGTAGCTGATGCTTATTAGCAGCTTGTTGGTAGATCAAAAAATGCAAGCACTGACGCACCAGTAGGTCTAAAGTCGTACTGCGATTTGTCATGCAACAGCTCCTAATGAGCCAGTCTTATTGTCAGACTGTTTGGCCAGTGCATGTTTCTCTTGCCTTAACCAGATGTGCCCTGACCATCTAAAGTGTTTTGCACACAATGCTAGAAAGTGCTATCTAAAAATCTGCAGCTTCAATCTGATTCTATTTAATTTCCGGCAGGTTTGACTATTTTAGATAAACCTTTAGGTAAGACTTGTAAAAACTAAAAAGTATGGTTTTACTTGTCATTCAGACAGACCCTTAGACAGTTCTTGGCCAAAATAAGATGCAATGGGCACTTGATGCCATTAGACAAAAGTCTGGCAGTGCAAGATGGCACTGGCATATTAGCTAAAGAGGCGGTGGTTTCTTAAACCTTCTAAAAGCTTTAAATTTGGTCATTTTAAACCCCATATTTAATTGTATTCAAAAAGTGCACTGATACATCAATTAAAAAGACTTCTAAACATCATTTAAAATGATCAAATGAAAATAAATGTTTATTATGTACTGTATTAGGAGACAGATGAT